CACTTGCAACCTTTTAAGACCCCAGATGCTACTCATCACACTAGAACGTAGAACATTGTGTTTATGTACTGTTTTGATCTAGATGTCCCCAAAGACTATGGTCCTTAGACTTCAAATCCTGTAATTCAGTCTCATGAAATGTATGGTAATGTCTAAGAAATTTCCATAACTGTATCTCTTATGTGCTATGTCATATATATGAATATATGTACAGCACAAATAAATATATGTGTCCTATTTAGCATATATATCTGGCTATGTTATAGTATTTACCATAATTGCCCTTTATTCTTATATACCTTTCAGTGTCTTCCTTTACCTTGGTCAGGTTGTATATTGCTTTTTCTTTCACCAGAATGATCTAATTAGTGATTCTCCTTCCTTCCCACTTCCATCCCTGGTAACATCAAGGAATGTTTCTGTCTGTGTATAAACCTATTCTTGACTTTTTGTAATAGTGGTCTCATACAGTATTTGTCTTTTTCATAATTGACTTATTTCACTCAGCATAATGTCCCCCAGAAGAAACAGTGGCAGGGACCCAGGTAAGGGGAGGGGCCCAGGCCCCGCCCCCCAAGCAGTAAAAAAGAGGAAGAAAGGAGAGAAAAAGCAAGGGGGATCAGGATACAGAGGGGAAGCAGCAGCAGGGATCTGGGTAAGGAGAGGGACCCAGGCCCCACCCCTCAAGTGCTAGGAAAGCAGAAGAAAGGAGAGAAGAAGCCAGGAGGACCAGGACAGAGTGAGGAAGCAGAGGCAGGGTCCAGGTAAGGGGAAGGTAGAGAAGTTTGGAACAGCTAAGGGAGACAAACTTGTATATTGGTTTGTCCTACTGTAGTGGCATGTTGCTGTGAGGCTTGAGGCTGTGCCACTGGTGTTTCAAACCCAGCAGGGTTGCACATGGTGCACAGGTTTCAGCATGCTTGCAGACTGAGACAGACTTGGAAGAAGGAAGAGGCCATCCACTTCTCAAAGAATTGGCAAGGGAAAACCCTATGAATAGCAGAGAAACACTGTCTGATACATTACTGCACAACTTTATGAATAGCCCAGAAACATTGTCACATACAGTGCAGGAGGTTGAGCTACTTAGGTCAGAAAGCTCTCAAAATATGAAGGGGAAAGAGATGCATCATCAGAGTAGAACCAGCCTTAATGATATGGATAAGGTAAAGCTTTTGAGACCTCCATTTGCTGACGTGTCATGGCTCAAATTAAGGAGAAACAGCTGCAAGAATCCATTAATAATCAGAACATGGAATGTATGAAATATGAATCTAGGAAAATTGGAATTGTCAAAAATGAAATGGAATGCATAAAGATTGATACCCTAGGCATTAGTGAACTGAAATGCACTTGTTTTGGCCATTTTGAATCAGACAACCATGTGATCTACATGCTGGGAATGACGATTTGAAGAGGAATGGTGTGGCATTCATCAGCGCAAAGGATGTTTCAAGTACAATCCTGTCAGTGATAGGATAATATCCATGGTCCTACAAGAAAGACCAATTAATATGACTACTATTCAAATTTATGCCCCAACCACCAAAGATCAGGAAATTGAGGATTTTTATCAACTTCTGCAGTCCAAAATTGAACAAATATTCAATCAGGATGGTTAATTATCACTGATGACTGAAATGCAAAACGTAGAAACAAAGAGGAATCACCAGTATTTGGAAAATTTGGCCTTGGTGACAGAAGTAATACTGGAAATCACATGATAGAATTTTGCAAGACCAATGACCTATTCATTGTAAATACCTTTTTTCAACAACACAAACGGCGGCTATACACATGGACTTCACAGGATGGAATACACAGAAATCAGATTGACTCCATCAGTGGCAAGAGGTGATGGAAAAGCTTAATATCTTCAGCCAAAACCAGGCCAGGAGCTGATTGTGGAACAGACCATCAACTCCTCATATGCAAGTTCAACTTGAAGTTAAAGACAATTAAAACAAGTCTACAAGAGCCAAAATATGATCTTGAAATATCCCTCCTGAATTTAGAGATCATCTAAAGAACAGATTTGATGCATTAACACCAATGACCAAAAACCAGAAGAATTGTGGGATGACATCAAGAACATCATCCATGAAGAAAGCAAGAGGTCATTAAAAAGACGAGAAAAGAAGAAAAGACCAAAATGGATGTCAGAAGAGACTCTGAGACTTGCCCTTGAGTGGAGAGTAGCTAAAGCAAATGGAAGAAATGACAAGATAAAAAAAGCTGAACAGAAGATTTCAAAGAGCAGCTTGAGTACACAAAGCCAATTACTATAATGAAATGTACAAAGACTTGGAGTTAGAAAACCAAAAGGGAAGAACACCCTCGGTATTTCTCATGCTGAAAGAACTTAGGAAAAAATTTAAGCCTTGAGTTGCAATATTAAGAGATTCTCTGGACAAAATATTGAATGATTCAGGAATCATCAAAAGAAGATGGAAGGAATACATAGAGTCACTACCAAAAAGAACTAGTAGATCTTCATCCATTTCAGGAGGTGGCATATGATCAAAAACCAATGGTACCGAAGGAAGAAGTCAAAACTGCACTGAAGGAATTGACTAAGAACAAGGCTCCAGGAATTGATGGAATACCCATTGAGATGTTTCAACAAACGGATCCCCACTGAAGGTACTAACTTGGTTATGCCAAGAGATTTGGAAGACAGCTACCTGGCCAACTGACTGGAAGAGATCCATATTTGTATCCATTCCAAAGAAAGGTGATCCAAAAGAATGTGGAAATTATCAAACAATATCATTAATATTGCACCCAAGTAAGATCTTACTGAAGATAATTCAAAAATGGTTGCAGCAGTACTCCAAAGGAGCAGGGTGGATTCAGAAGATGACATAGAACAAGGGATATCATAGCTGCTGTCAGATAGCTCTTGGCTCAAAGCAAAGAATACCTGAAAGATGTTTACTTGTGTTTTATTGACTATGCAAAGCCATTTGATGGTGTGGATCATAACAAATTGTAGGGAACATTGAGAAGAATGGCAATTCCAGAACACTTAATTGTACTTATGAGGAACCTGTACATTGACCAGGAGGCTGTAGTTCAAACAGAACAAGGGGACACTGCATGGTTTAAAATCAAGAAGGCAGTGTGTCAGGGTTATATCCTTTCCCCATACTTATTCAATCTATATGCTGAGCAAATAATCTGAGAAGCTGGACTATATGAAGAAGAATGTGGCATCAAGATTAAAGGGAGAATCATTAACAACCTGTGACACAACTTTGCTTGCTGAAAGTGAAGATGGCTTCAAGCACTTATTGATGAAGATTAAAGACTACATTCTGCAGTATGGATTACCTCTCAATATAAAGAACACAAAAATCCTCACAACTGGACCTATAAGCAGCATCACGATAAACAGAGAAAAGATTGAAGTTGTCAAAGACTTCACATTGCTTGGTTCTGCAATCATCTCCAATGGAGGCAGCAGTCAGAACATTAGATGATGTATAGCACTGGGCAAATCAGCTGCAAAGACCTCTTTCAAGTGCTGAGAAGCAAAGATGTCTCCTTGAGGACTAAAGTGCGTCAGGTGTGCCTTGACACAAGCCATGGTATTTTCAATAGCCTCATATGCATGTGAGAGCTGGACAATGAATAAGGAAGACAGAAGAAGAATTGATGCTTTTGAGTTGTGGTGCTGGTGAAGAATGCTGAAAGTACCATGGACTGCTAAAAGAACTAACAGATCTGTCCTGGAGGAAGTGCAGCCAAAATACTCCTTGGAAACAAGAATGGCCAGACTTCATCCGACCTACTTTGGCCATGTTATCAGAAGAGACCATTCCTTGGAGAAGGATGTCATGCTTGGTAAAGTGGAGGGTCCATGAAAGATGGGAAGGCCCTCAATGAGATGGATTGACACAGTGGCTGCGACAATGGGCTTAAGTATAACAAGGATCATGGAGCTGGCACAGGATCAGGCAATGTTTTGTTCTGCTGTGCATAGGGTCACTATGAGTTGGACACAACTAAACGGTACCTAACAACAACAATGTCCCCCAGATTCATCCATGTTATGAGATATTTCACATATTCATCATTGTTCTTTATTGTTGTGTAGCATTCCATTGTGTGTATGTACCACAGTTTATCTATTCATCTATTGATGGACACTTAGCTTGTTTCTTTCTTTTTGCTATTAAAGTGAACATCTTTAATTTTCCATCTAATGATATCAAACCTTTTCATTAAATAACCCATGTTAATGGTTTTAATATTAAACTCTTTTTAATTAGTATTTAATTTGTTAAGGCATTGTTCAAAGAAAACATACTAGCTCTGATAGCATAGTACCTAAGGTACTTGACTGCTAACCAGAGGGCTGGTGATTCAAGCCCATCAGCCACTCCTTGGAAGGTAGGTTGGACGATCTACTTCCGTAGTGATACCGACTCGGAAACCCAAGGAGGGGTCTCTATGAGTTGGGGCCGACTCGATGGCACATAACAACAATAACAACCCTTTACTGGCAGAGTTTTTTAAAAAATTGATATGAGAGCATTCTTATTTACCGAGTTATTAAGAAAGTTGGGTATTTTGTGGTTTAATTGCAACAGAAATGCCCTTTTTGTTTATCTAATTTAGTTGTGCTTATAAAGAATAATTGTAGAAATGATGTGATGTTCATATTTTGTCATTATATTTCTTGACGTTTTCTATATGTTTCCAACTTTTGTTTAAAACCTTTTTTTAAAAGGATAGTTGTATATGCAGAGTATAATTTACTAAGTCAGTTATTGTAAAAAGATAATTGACTACATTTCTTCTTAAGCATTTCTTCTACCAGCATTTTGAATAGACATAAAATTTTTTGCAAAATGATTAGTGCAAAACAAAATCCTTTATAGTTGCTTCTGGCATTTGTGGCTTGAACATGATTGTATTGCATTTTTTAACAATTAAATGAATTCCACATGAAGAGAGCTACACTCACACTCTTTCCTCTCCTTCTAACCTCACAGACGTCTTGCCGGAAACTCTTTGACATACATTCCCAAAGGAGCCTTTGCTGGTCTTTACAGTCTTAAAGTTCTGTAAGTAAATCTGGTATTATCTGATATATTTCTGATTTTAGTATCAAATGGATGGTAATTAACTTGTAGATATTCAATTGCTCTAATAAATTCTTTAGGTCCATAAGATAGTTCATCTAAATTCAAGTCTACCTTAACAAGTGTCATAGTACCATCTTATACTTGGAATTAGTGTGTGAAAACAATTATCTATAACTTTAATATATAAAATTGTTTGTTTGCCTCTAAATAACTAACTTATGAACTCAAACTTGTAAAAGAGTATTTCTTTTTCTTTTTCTCTTTGTGTTTTTAACTTGGGGAGATTATCTGAAATCATTTCAACCACCAAGTGAATAAATCACTGTGATGCTGACCTAATGAGATCACAGCTTCAAACTATTGTTGAAGTTTCTTTCCTTCTGATGCACTGAATAAAATTCAGCTAAAAACTGACAATTCTATGTTCCACCTGTGAATTTATGTGGAAAAGCCTAGTACACATAGATACACTAAGTAGCTGCTTCCAAATTTACTGAGAATCGTAAAAATTGATTTTCATATTATTTAATGTCCAACTTACCAATTTGTTTATCAGAAAATTCAATGAATACCTCCTTCTTCTAGTATCCATTGCTTAACTTTTTTTTTTTTTTAGTATTTAAGTGTAGGAAAAAAGGGCACTTAGGTAGAGAAAATAAATAATGCAAGGTGAAAATCATCCTAGGAAAATTTTATCTCAGTGAAAACGTCCTGATTTTATTTCCTTTTCTTAAGATAAAAGCTATTAACTCTAAAAAGACATTTGATATATTTCTGCTTAATGAAAATTGCATTTTAGTAGCCTGTGGGATATCTGGGCTACAAAATAATCAGTTTAATTAAATTTTATATTTTATTAGAAGTTAAATTCAATAATAGAACCAGTTGTTAGGCCTGTTTATGTGATTGGGTTTGGTTTGTTCTCCTTGGATTAATTTTGTTATTGGGCAGACATTTTTAAGTTGTCATGTTGCCAAATCCAAATGTTAAATCATTATGAATTGAATTCTGACTTGTAGACCAGATCCAATGCACCTATATCTCCATGAATAAGTAAAATATTTGGAACCATTCAGAAATGCATCATTAACTCAAACTTAGATAACACAACTAAGATGATGTTTTTCTTACATTGATCTGTGTACCATTAAGTATTTCAGATACTTGTTGATTAATTATACTGGAACCAATTATTTTAATTCACTTGACAAATACATGTTGGATATAATGACCTAGAGTGTATGTATGTATGTGTCTGTATTTAAGTGTATCTCCAGCAATCATAATTATATATAAATTATTAATATAGAACACAAATATATATGAATTATATATAAACTACTTGTTTCAATTGTATAGAATTATAGTTTTAAAATCTTTGAATTCTTATGCTTAAATTACTTGTTTTGTGTAAATTTTTCCATCATACATTTTACATTTTCTAATTATACCATTATATATTTCTAATTGCATTATATTACTACTGATTATTTGTTCCCCACAAACCCCCTACCATCATATCGATTCCAACTCATCATGACCCTATAGATGAATAGAACTGCCCCATATTGTTTCCAAGGCTGTAAATTGTTATGGAAGCAGACTGCCTCATCTTTCTCCCACAGAGCAGCTGGTGGGTTGGAACTGCTGACCTTTTGGGTAGCCATCAAATGCTTAACCACTGTGCCATCAGAGCTCCCACAATACACTAAAGCTCCATGAAATTAGAGATACTGTCTGCCTGCCGCTGGTCTATCCCTAGCTCTTAGAACAGTGCCTGACTCAGAGTAGACACTCAGTAAATATTTGTTTAATGAATGATTCAGACTGATTCAGACAGAACAAGGAAGCTCTAATTCATTTTGTATGTTGTTGACCTAATGCCATATGTTTATTAATGAAATATATATTATATACTAAACAAAAAGTTGAACTTTCATATCTAGTATGGGCTTGTAGGGGAACAAATATTCAGTAGTAATATAATGCAATTAGAAATATATACTTTGTAGGTATACAAGCTGCATGTAAGTATACAACCAGCTCCACCCCTGGCCCCCAGAGTGCTTCTACACATGTTTTCCTGATTCCTATGGTACATTTGGGAGCTCTGGTAACATAGTGTCTAAGGCACTTGACAGCTAACCAGAAAGCTGGTGGTTCAAACCCACCAGCCACTTCTCGGAAGGAAGATGGGGCAATCTACTTCCGCAGTGATATTGCCTTGGAAACCCAAGGAGGGGTTGCTATGAGTCGGGTCTGACTCAAGGGCACATAACAACAACAACAACATGGTACAATTTGCTTGAATATTTCAGAAAGCATTGGATTAGTGTGATTTAAAAATAAAAATCATAGATTAACTCTCAAATTTATTTAAATATACTTTTTTCCACCAGAAAGAAATGAAATGTGGTCCTTAGACTCTCTCTGTTATCTAATCCTAACAAACCAATGCACTTTCTGTTTGCTTGTATAGGCTAGGATTCAGCAAAAGCCTGATGTGTATAATATTCAAAGTGGCATTAAACACAATGTTGCTGGAAATACAAATATCAATAAACATGGTCCATGCCCTTGAAGAGTTTATAGCAGTAGACAAACTGATACATAAACAGATCACCTGTGATTCTTGTGCATAGTTGTTTGCAGGGCACTAAGGAGCTCTGGTGGCACTGGGCTACTAACCAAAATGTAGGTAATTCAAACTCACCAACCACTCCACAGGAGGAAGAGGAGGAAATCTACTTCCATAAAGATTTACAGCCTTGGGAACCCGATTGGGGTCACTATGAGTTGGAAACAATTTGATGGCAGTCGGTTTGTTTTGGTTTGGGTGTAACTGTAGAGGTTGAGAGCATTTAGTCCAGTCTGATGGTTCAAAATCAGTTACCTAGGAACAATGTTTTCCTGAAGAGATGACCCAGGAGTTGAATCTTAAAGGACAACTAGGAATCAGCCAGCCAAATAAGGTGGCCAAGGATGCTGCAGACTGTGAGGACAATATGCAGAGAGACACAGAGGCAGGAAATACCTGGGATGAACAGGCAGGTGCCAGTAGTTTGGTATTAGAGCATTCAGGGAGAGGTGGAGAGTATCTGGAGAAGAGCCCAGAGAAGTAGAAATGGTCCTAATCACAGGGCTTTCTATTCCATGTCAGGAAACGTGGGTGTAATCATGTTCTAAGCATGCTAAGGAGCAAAGGAAGAGATCTAACAAAGGAATGGCATGTTTAGATTTTGCAGTTTCGCCAAATCACTGTCAGTATGAAGAGGGTTCAAGAGGAGCAAGACCCTGCCAGAATTTGTGTTCACTCCTCCCTTTCCTTTGCTGACTTAAAGACTAACATTCAGCAAGTGGACTCAACCTTCAAATATTTTGGAAGTATTTTGGTATCGGAGTGGTGGTTCTCCAACATGGTGGCTCTGCCAGTGACGGAGTGCTGTGGAAGTTTATAGGGCATCTTTCGTTGTCATAAGGATTGGTGTGTAGTAAATACTTCTGCAATGTGCTATACAACCCAGCAAGAAGAGCCTCCTGCATTCCACTTGACTCCTGACTGTTCCACCACACCGAATATAAATCAGTAGTACTTAAATACATAATACAAATATAATCAATAATACTTTAATACATTATAATATTGAAAGGGTTTGTCCTTTACCATTTTAACCATTTTTATTGTTGTAATATATATGTATATATATAACACATTTTCCAATTCAACATTTTTTACATATGTAATTCAGTGACATCAGTTCTTTTAATTATGTTGGGCAACCATCACCAATAGTGAAAGGTTTTATAAGAAATTCTGCATAAGCCTAATAATGTGGACAAGAAAACTAAATGGAATAACCATATTCTCTCAAAACGATTAAATAATTAGTTCAATTGGTGCACCCTGTCTACTCCAAGTAAGGTAGAATTTCTAACTACACATTTAGTTGAAAATGGTGTTAGTGCAGAAAAGGAATTGCTTTAAAAAGCACAAAATATATTAAAAATTATATAACTATGGAGATCATTAAATCACACAGAAACACAAAGCACAGATCTCATTGAATTTCACTAATAAAGGTTGCTTTATAAATATTTTTGTATTGTTGCCATTTTAAATTTTTGGAGTGTAATCACAGGAGATCGATGTTGTGACAACTATATGATTTATTTATTTGGGGGTGACCTGTTGCTTTTTCAGGAGCTCTGGTGGCACAGTGGTTAAAACTTTTGGCTGCTATCAAAAGGTAGGTGGTTCAAACCCACCAGCCACTCTGTGGGTGAATGTTAATGCAGTCTGCTTCCTCAAAAATTTACAGCTTTGGAAACCCTGCTGGGCAATTCTACTCTGTCCTATAAGGCCACTAAGTGTCACAATCAACCCAATGGCAGTGAGTTTTTGTGTGGTTTTGTTGTTGTTGTTGTTGTTGTTGTGGCTTTTTCAATCTTCCTCTTATGCATTCCAGCAAAGTCTACTGTTGTTATTGCTGGTTGCCCCCGAGTTGACTCCAGCTCATGGTGACCCCATGTGTGCAGAGTAGAATTGCTCCGTGGGGTTTTCTAGGCTGTGACCTTTAGGAAGCAGGTCACCAGACCTGTCTTCTGAAGCTCCTCTGAGTGGGTTCAAACCACCAACATTTCAGCTAGTTGTCAAATGTTAACTGTTTGTGCCACCCAGGGATCCACCAAAGTCTACCACCCACTTTTTATAAAGGCAATGCCATGGTCATTTCTTTTTCCTTTTCAACCTCAATTCCCTGTTACCAGTGGAAAGTATGGCTATGTTCTCCAGAGCCTTTTGAAGTTCTAGAGAATGAATGTTCTCCTCGGCATGTGATAAAATCTTGAGATAGAAGAAATGTTCTCTGTGATACTCCAACACTGTGCTGTCCTACATCAAAATATAGGGAATTATTTTGGCACTGCTCTTCTATATTAAGGAATATAATTTGTGAGAGTATCCATGCTCATTTGTGAGA